GTATGTATGTATGTATGTATGTATGTATGTATGTATGTATGTATGTATGTATGTATGTATGTATGTATGTATGTATGTATGTATGTATGTATTAAGGTCAAACATTCTTGAAAAACATTATAGTTATTTAACTCGACTTGTTTATCAAATACCTAAAAATACCTTGAATAAAACCATAAGGATGGTGTCTGATTGGTTTGAGTTTGACACCAAAAGTCAAAAGTACCACGTTCAAATCCAAAGAGGAATAAAAATTCTCTTATGGCCACGTAGGTTCAAATGCAGTGACTCCGAGCTATCTACAAAGTAGATAGTCGTCATGGGATTAGTCGGCTCGCATAGCGGGTTGAATATTCAGGTTAATAAAAAAAAATTACCTCGAATACCTATTCATGAAATAATGTTAAGAAAACTTAGGTGGCTTGGAACTAATTTGGCGAATGCTTATAAAGAAATCTATCAGATAAATTGGAATTTAAATAAGTTTAAATCCAATCAGGTTTGGCTACATGTAATTGGTTAGTATGAATTAAAATAGAATCTATCAGTTGTCAAAGAAATTGAAATATATCTGTTTGATAGAATATAACTATGTAATTAGAATGAAACAATAATAAATATTGTTTTATGATATTTTTTATAGTTCCTTTCTTAAATTATACATATTACAAATATTAGTAAATTATCACTTAGGTGACGTTTGTTTTTTAAGAGGTGCTGAAGTCTGAAGTTTGAATTCACTTCTGATTTTTAAGAGGTGGTGCTGAAGTCTGAATCAATCAGACTGTTTGTTTTTTGCGTCTGAAATATGAAGTTTGAAGATGAGAGATCAAGAGTTGATATGGATCGACAATTGACAGAGTTGAGAGATGAAAAGATCGAGACATAAAAGTTGATCCAGAGAAATCGAGCGTAAAGAGATCAAAGTAGGTAGACGACGATTTGAAATAAGAGGTAATAAGAGGTTTCTCAACCACTTAAATTTTCAGACCTAATAAGAGCTTTTAAGCTCTTAATTGAAAAAAAAACAAACACACTGAATCCTCTTATGTCTGACCKATTCAGACTTAAGAGGACATTAAGAGCTTTTTTATTAAAAACAAACAGCCCCTTAGTGTGTAAGAATACATAACTACCATTTATTAAATCGTATATGTATATTATATTATAAAGTATTTAACAAAAACTTTTAAAAACCATCTTTTATATATGAAGTATTGTTTATTGATGCATATTACTTAAAATTCAATATTACAAGTCAAATTGTGCATGAGTACAACTTATTAAGCTCAATGTTGAATTCGTATAACTAACTGTAGATAAATATAACCAAATTCAGAATAAAACTCTTATTTTAAGTATAAAATCTAAAATATAATTAGGATAATTATTAAGTCGTAACAGAATACTTAGTTATTGTCTTTATAAAAATTATATTATGAAACCAAAATTAAATTACTTTATAAAAAGTATTATATTTTAAAAATACTAGAAGAGTAATTGCGCAATGCAGCGAGACACAACTCGATTTTAATGTTCTATTTTATTATTTGTCTATGTTGATATTATAATACGATTTTATGTGTTTTTAAGAAAACAATAATGATTTTATTTTTAAATGAAATATAAATTTGAAGATATCAAAAAATTTTGAAAAAAAATATATCAATGTTAATATAAAATCAACCATTTAAAAGTTCTCATTTTTTATGCAATTTTTTAATTTATTTTTTTACTATAATTTAATTTAAGTTTAATAACGAAATAATTTATTGTTGGTTTAATATATAACATTTTATAAAGATAATAATTATTTATTCTGTTAGAACTCAATGATTATCTTAATTATACTTTAGATTTTTTATATTTAAAATGAGATGTTTATTCTGTATTTGATTATGTTTATCTGCAGTTAATTACACGAATTCAGATATGTAGCTTTAATAAGTTGTACTTACACACAATCTACTTATAATCTTGAGTTTTAAATAATATGCATTAATGAACAGTATTTTACGAATAAAAAATGAGTTTTAAAAGTTTTTATCAAATATTTTATAATATAATATAAATAATTTAAAAATAATAAAAAGTATTTATATCTAATACCTGATTCTTAATTCTAGAAGATGGCAATGGATTGATTAGAAGAAAAGTCAAAATTAACACTTGACCAAACAAGACTATAACCGGTGTACAAACACCACTACTTAGACCATGGTCAAAGAGATTACGCAATCTAATTTTATTATTTTCCTAAGTGAGACTGTTGACCTAATTATTATTATTTTTTTTAAAATAAAAATTAATTAGAATATTCATTTTTTAATACTCTTATTTAATTCACGAGTTTTAAGGGTTAGTAATTGAAAGAGAAATGTCATGAAAACGTGTTGCCATTTTTGCAATTTACATGTGAATAATGTTATTTTGTAATTGGTGTATGACTAACTTATGGGTCGTTTTCTGAACGTTTACTCGGGTAAGTGAACACCAAGTCACATTACCTTACCGGATGAATATGGTAAGTACAAAGAATCTTACATGGTAAGAGCGAGACAAGGACCAAGAATCTTACCCGGTAAGTGGAGGCGACGACTCTTACCATAATAAGCGCTTACCGGGTAAATTGTTGCATACGATACCGTTTTGGTAGACTAAAATCTTACCCGGTAAGTAAATGATAGTGTAAACTTTACCGGTAAGCACTTACCGGGTAAGTGTTTGATAAACGGCCCATAAGTTTGAATTGGGAAAATTGTTTTATATAATAAAATTGGAAAAAAGATGTATTCATTGAACACCAAGTGAGAAGGATGTTTAAGTATTGTAGAAGAATTCTTGGTAAGGCTATTAGTATCAAAGGAAAGGAAAGGAAATGGTGGTTAGTGGAAGGCGTTTTTTTTTCCGTAATCAGCAAAGTTTATAGGTTGCTGAGATTCCAAGGTGCAACAAGCATCACGAGAATCGTTTTGAGTTTGGTGTTATGTTAAATGTCGTAGGAAAACTAAGGAAATTTGGTGGATTTACAGATGTTACGAAGGCTCAACTGTTATATCATATATCACTTTTATTTGTATAAAAAGAATGTTCAAGGAATGTGGGATTGTTGTATCTCGGAAGAGTCTAGTTCGTTAAGTCATTTCAGCTGTAGGCGAGAGGTTTGCTATAGCATAGCACCTATGACATATGCTACAACAACATTGTCACACTCATATTTGTTAGAACAATGCAGTAGTTATGGTTTCTCGTTTTTGTTATTTCCTCTTATTGTTATTCTTCATAATCTTTTCATAATGAGATCAAACAGTTAGCCCAAGTTTTCAGATAATAAATATTAGCCTCTCTTGAGGTTAATATTGCAAACAGTGTATAAAAAGTCAATGACTCAACTTTCCACCAATATAAAGCATTTGATTTGAGCATGGAAACAACAAATCTAACTCGATCCTCATATAAGCATTCGCTGACATTAAACATAACCGTTATCGGATCTCTCTTACTAGAAAAAGTCAGAGGTTTACGTGTCAGAATCAATTTAATATCACCTCCTCTTTCATTTGAAGTGTGGACTTGATGGTTTATTTCAACTCTCTCCGTTTCTACTCGAGCAAGTATTCCTAATATAGAAGTTAAAGTATCTCGAAGCTTACTCATCTCCTCTGCAAGCATATCCCGAGTAACATACTCAGGATGTTGAGTTTGCTCCCGAAGTACAAATCTGGTTCTTTCCTGCTCCTCATTAACATTTTCTTGGATTGACTCCTCTTGTTCCAAATGAATTTCTTGGAAAATACTTTGTCCTCTTCCTTGACCTC